TTAAACAATGAAGCAACCAATTTAATCCTAATAATAAATTATTCCTCGCAACCATTTCTGCATAACTGCAGGGAAATAATGAAAGATAACAAATGACCAGAAGCAGCAAGTTCCTCGATCGTTTCAATCACGGAAAATTCTATTAATTTGCAATACGTGTAGCCCGTGATTTTAAATTTTCTCATGAAATTTTGAATTTTTACGCTGGCGCTAAATTGTTACGTTCATTCGATATGTCATTTGAATAATTATTGTTAGTTGCACTGCAAGCGTTTGTTGTCTCTGCATCCAACAGCCTCTCCTCTGGTAAGCCAATACTTTATTGTTAGCCAAATTCGTTGCATATATATTAAGTTATTTGTAGGCGTATACATTGTAGTATTGTTATTTAATTGGTCGTAATAAATAGAAGTTCAAGGCAGTTTCAGTTTCTCAGATCAGCCAATGTATTGTCTGAAGTAAATTCTTATTACCGCGATTGGAATATTGGTCGAAGAGAAATAGCAGCAAGGTTGGCACGCAGCAGCCTCTAGCTTACACTTCGGAAGCCCTGTCATTAGCATCATAAGCACTATTACATTGATTCACTGCGAAATAAATTGAGAACGAACGCGGTTTCTCCAATACTAATGCCTGAAGGGAACGCCCTCTATGTGCAGGCACATTATAATTCCGTGTGCTCCACTACCCAGCGCGGGAGCAGTGATCAATTCCGTAAAAATATTCGGTAGTTTACAAAATCCGATCCAAAGCGGATCATCCGATTAATTTTGGGCAATCTAGGAGGCATTCTGCAATAAGTTCAGTCGCAGCCGCGGCAGGTGATGAACTATGACATGAACGAAGGACATGAGAATAGCAACTGAAGAGAGACATAATGTTTAAAATGACAGCACTGCCACTGAATCAAATATCACACATAAGCATTACGAAATAGCTGGATGTCGCATTAAGGAAAAAAGATGCTTTAATATTGGATTTGAGTCACGTACCATGCATGTCCTCAACATTTTATAATTCCCTATTAATACCCAGATAAGGGTTTGAGATAAATTCACATGAACCGTCGTTGGTCAAAGAAGCAATGATGGCTTCAGCAATCACATTAGCATCGAGTAACTTTTCTCTATACGTAACAAGAAAATGAACAACTCTAACATTTATCGTTAATGGCAAAAGTCAAATGAATTAGTATTATTCAATTATTGTTACATTATCGAAACCTCTCTCAAAAACCCTTCATATGCGCGACTGTCCTCAAGGTAAATGGCATTTCATTTTTTTCCGAACGATGGAGTTCAATTGCATAATATAACATTTTTCGTCTGTACATTTAATTTGACCCAACCTTCGATACAACAAAGAATATGGATTGAGCGAATATGTAACATAATGGAAATATTTTTCTATTCGGGATATGCATAATGAGGTTCTGCATTTACAAATCCATTCGATAGCCCATGAATGTTCAGTGCTTCAAGCAATCCTATAAATATATATTCAGGTAAAATAAAATCTCTATTTTGTAGATTCTCAAGAATATAACAAAGTCAATATTTCATGCGGCTGTTGAAGTCATCTAACCATGGGAGGGGCATTAAACCATTAAACGCTCACGGGGCACGAGTAGCCAGCTGTGAGAAAGTCTCGTCGATATCGGCGAGATGGCCGTGCGGGCATAGTGGATATTGAAACAGTAAGTTCCTTGTTATTGATCTGCACAACAAGCTGTAAAAATTCTTCGAAGTTCAGAATAGGCAACACATAGTTGAACTAATATATTAGTTGCATTAGTTCGATCATGAGGCAACCTGCCCAATGGCCAAATCTTCAACGCTAACTCCGCCATTAAGCGGATTTAGATCATCTCGGGCTTTATTTTAGGATGATCGCTTCCCTGTCAGAGCTGAAAGTTCTATTTATATTGTTCTCTTATGGCAATACAAAAATAATTCGGTTACGAATTTTCAATCCTGTCGCAATCAAGTTGAAGTTCTGGGATCCACTCCAGGCGTATCCCATTTGGTTGAGGCCAACTTGAACGTTTCGATCTTCAGTCGGCGCATGCGCAGTGCTACTGCTACACAGGTTACTGTTCTCAATGGTACAGAGTCTCTAACGTTGTCGATTTGTCAAGATGGCGGACACAAAACATCCTGTTGTACAAGGTAAATTTAGAATGGAATTTGAGCTGAGAAATGTTGTAGCTATTTCATCACTATCAAGGAGGTCATATATGTAAATAAATGAACTCGCATTTATATCTCAAAATTTCATGTTTATTTCAAATGTCCAGTGGACCAGTTGTCATTATCGAGACTCGTGACGTAGTGAAAAATAATGAAGCTATCCCCGAGCTCCCTTCACTGACGAATAACCAACTACAAATAGTTATTAATATTATCTCGTCTATTTATTTCAGATATTGAAGCTCATCTGAAACAAGTTCAAGAAAGAAATGGCAACGCAGAGGAGCCAACAAATGGCGAACAAGAAAGAGTTCGGTTGGATGGTGGTGGTTATTATGACACAGAAATTTATGAAAATCGTTCGAGCAAATATTCAAATTATGATTTGTCGATTGCTGTTGCAGGAGCCAGCAATTTATGGTGAGTGAAGCTAGAGTATAGACCTGTATTTTGCATGTTTCAATTCAAGTTTAATTTAGCTAGTAAAAAAATGGCATCATTTATAAAAATAAAAGTGGTCTAAGTTACCCCATTTTACGGTACTGAAAATCAATAAGAATGGTTTCCAAACAAAACTAACATTCTAACTGGTAATTTTTATTGTGAAATTGTGAGATTGAAGTTGATATGTAAGTATGGTGGTTAATGTTGATTGAACTCTTAAAATTAGCTAAATATACTATAATAACTATAGTGCATGAATTCCATATCTTGGCCATGAAGAGCCATTTACGGGCTGCAAACTTATTTAAAAAGTTTTGTACATGTGTTACCCCAAACCTTTAATTATATCCTTGAAAAAGCAACATTAATATTTATCTTTGTCTTTTACTACTTAAGTGGCAACTGAACACGATACCCATACTGTACCTAATGCAGTCTGACTGCTCTGATGTAACTGCAACTATTTGATCTTCAACAAAATATTTTGGGTCGACTCGTCAATGGTCATCATTACATTAGGGTGGGGCAAAATATTTGGGCAGGAGTGTTGAAGTACTGTGGATTGTGAAAGTTGAAAATTTTATGAAATGACATGTTTGCAAAGTGCAAGCTACAATTTTTGCAATCAAACAAAAATACATGACATTAGAGCTATGTGATTTCATACCTACCAAACTTATATATTAGAGCCACAATATTGCAGAAAAAAGTAAGACATTTCCCAACTGGCTATAGTTCTAGACTAAGGGTTGTTATTGTAGGATATATTCAGGAGTGGCAAGTTGATTCAACTTGAGTGATGTTGTGCCAGTCTGTACCAGGATCCTTTGAGCTGTCAATTAAGCATAGTGGCATAGGAGAAAAATTTGTGTTGCCCTTTCTCAAGTTCATTCTTGAGTCCTAAAAGTAGACTAGTAAGTATCTTGTATATCAGCATTATCATACAAAGAAAATTAATCAAAATATTAAGTACATACCATAAATGGGAATATTAAGAATGAATGGATGAGTAGGATAGGTAATAAAAAATCTCTGGTTTGCCAATATGCCTTTGAGTAAAAGTAATCACAGTTGACAGGTATTTCATTGATTTGGTGGTGGCTGAAAGCTCTAGTATCAGCTTTACTTGCAATTTGCAGGATTGGAAAAACTATTTTTTACCTATTTTTACTGAAATATTGCGGCAGTGCTGCTCTAATATATACGGTATTGCATTATTATGCCAAGTATGAAATCTTGCAGCCAAAGACCTAAGCCATGTAGTAGTTTGGTTTGGTTGGAAATAACTAGCATAGAATAGGTATACGTATATAGATACCTGTCAAACTGTGATTATGGCTTTCCAATCATTTTTGGAGCTGCAATATTCTTGCTTGATGAATTACTTCTAAGATTCATCAAGCAAGGTTCTTGCCTGGTGAATTAATTGTTAACAAATATTTTGTAGAAAATATTCACATTCGTAATGCATTAAGAAATTTTCACTGTAGAGCAGCAAGATTTGGTAGGATAATTCCAATTGTCTTCTAACATGTCATTTTACAAAATTTTAAACTTCTGTGGTTCAGTACCAAGCTTCTTCCAAAATGTACTGGATGATGATTGCTCCTAATATGTTTGCTGATGATTGTGCAATTGTGTCATGTTAAATGGCATTATAACTGCCTTGATGCTTTGACAACAAAAACATCATGTTCTTCAATGCCTCTTAAGTGAAGAAAAAAATTGTTTTGCTTCTCCTTGGGTAAAATTTGAGAATTGGCAGAAGACATGTGCACGGCTTGGTAATTAAACTGGCAGAAGAGTTTGCAGCTCTTGAATGGCTTTCCATGTACAATAGTTCTGGCTAAGATCTGTAAGACAATATTAAAAGTTGAAGAGAGAATTAATTATTATTAAACTTTATCATAAATTATGGTTATTTCTGGCAACACTAGCCTTTTATATAAATACAATATGCAATTCAATAATTACAATCCAACTTTGAACTTTTCATGTTTTAATCTTGCCATCTGATGATTTGTATTGATTGGTTCATCAAATGTTTATCAAGATGTTTATCTGCAGGATGATGAAGATGATGTTGGGATTCCATTGAACAAAAATCTTATGTGGAACTGAAGTCATGCTCTGCCATTGCGCAACTATTTATCCTTGATTGCAGCTACAGCTTTCTGTGCCATTGCTTTCTAAATGTGTGCATAAAAAAATTAGTAAACTTATTTTTTTATTTAAAATGTGTGGCAACTGAACAATTATTAAATTACATTTTTTAGAAGACCTTCTTATGGTTATCATTTTCAGGTTGATAAAGACCATGACCCCATGGCTCAGTACAAGCGTCCCACTATTGCTGATCGTGAAGATGACTACAGGGCTCGCCGTAGAGCTCAAGTGCTGTCACCTGACCGAATTGACCCTTTCATGGATGGTAAGTCCTTGAAATTTCATATTTTTTTACCTGAGCAATAAGTTTCATCCAATGTCATGTCAGATTTTATGGCTAAGTGAAGTTCATCTCCTCTCTAGAAAGACCTGTATATCAATGATACAATTGAATTTGTTGGCCAGTCAAAGTTGTATATCCTCCTGATGTGTACCTTGTATAAATAAGTACTAGGTAGCTTGTGTTAAATTCAATAACATTTAAGATATTTTGTTTCCCTCTCAGGGGAAATTGAACTGTTGAACTGCAGTGATAGAAAAGAATATACCTATATATTATACTGGTCCAGCATTATTAGGTTGTATTTCATATTTTGTTGATACGGTATAAACAGGCCATCAATTCTGATGGGCGTTTATCAAGAAAAGAAAGAAGCTTTTTAATGCAAACTATCAAATGTAGGAGATGAGCTACACTAAGCCTTTATGATTATACAATTACTGTCAGTTTTCTTATGTATAAAATCCTTGTGACCAATCAAAATCCCAATACTTTCAGCCATCAGCTGCGTTTTTCAAATGCTTCACCTGCAGCAATGTTAGAGTGAAACAATTCCCTCTTTAATACTGTCACCTCTGTCCGCAGAGTGCTTCTTTTGATGAGTAGCCGCTTTGGTTGTTATTGGTCATCAGGTTTTATTTAAGAAACTGTAATTTATTGGCAGAAGTTGACCATTGCAAAGCCCATGGTATTGATTGCATCGGTTGATGTCGCTAGTAAACCATCTCTGAGGTTATGAAGGCACGCTGATGTTCAGTTGATCCTTGTGGTTGCTTGCTGCTCGGGACCTTAAGCTTCAGTAGACCCGAGTTAGTGGCTGCAGAGCTTGTGATGTCTTGAGCGCAAACATGTTGCAATGGCTAACTCTTGCATCAAGCACTGTATGTGCTTATCTATTCTTAATGCAAGAATGTATGTCCTACCTTGGGCAGGGTTAATTTGTATTTAAATTTTCTTGTTACATGATAGTCGTATTTTCAGTTGAAGCTTTTGCGATGTAATGTTGCAATTCTGTGTGGCATAACAAGACACCGAGTTCACCCTGCCCAAGTGGTGTGTGTGGTGGATGACTGTATTTTGTGGCATCTTAATATTTGAAGCCTGCATATGGACCTGAAAAGCAAACCAAGTTAAGAAGTTTATTGCCTAGAAAGTATGGTGATTGGTGATGTTGAATTCTCATTCATTCAATTTCCCATTCGCTGATTGATAAGAAATGCGTTGGCATTACAACTTTTATTGATTGCGTAGTTTTTTATCCAATCGTGTATATTTCAGGTGAATGCTGTGCCGACTTCCAGCCCATTTTACTATTATCCCTAAATAGAGCTCGTCTTCCACTTTGCAGCAATTATTTACTTGAAATTAGTTGATGGGATTGCCTTAATTTATACATGAGATGGTAATCGTTTGGATTGTTGATTGTTATTGTGCTTAGCGTCTCGGAATAAAAGTATCACAAAAAAATTACCTAAGAAGCTTGTTTTTTCAGCATTTTAATTTTATGCGTAGGTATGTTGTTGAGCAGAACTTTTTATCGCAGTTGAATATTGACAATTTAATTCTTTATCCCCCTTCTGAAGTTGCATCATAAAGCAGCAAAATATATTACAATAATTTGTAATTTGATCAATAGTAAAGATTTTACCTATTTTTCATGAACTTGGTTTTTCTGATTGAAGCTACCACACCGTGGGACCAAACTCGTTGTTTTCCCCCTACTCGAATTTTATTCAGGAAATAAATTTTGTTCGTGCGCCACGTATACTGTCAGAAACTAGTGAACCTCGTTAATATTTAATTTTTTAATACAAGATTAAAAAACGCCCTAAATTATTTGTCACGATCAAATAGCTTTTTTTTATCTAAAATGCAGAACGACTTGAACTCGTCACGATCAATAATGGCCTTAAAACCATAAGATAGGGGAGGGGGTATGAACGTTATCATCATCTATGTTTTTCTGTAATCAGAGCTATGCCTAATTGATTCTTCACTACCATTTCAATGTTTCATCTTGATCCTTATTCGTTCATTTGAAGGTGCAACTAAAATTTTTGGTTAGGTGCCTAGTTAGGAAGTAATGTGATTGAAACGCCTCTGGAAGACTGGTTGCAAATTTTATCCAATTTTAAAGGTTGAACTGGTTGTTTAGCCTTAGTTATTTTGGCTTAGATTCATCCTGAAGCCTCTCGACATTTATATCAGCAACAACTCCTTGAACCATTGTGAGTTATGATAGCATGAAGCGATTAGTGAGAAAAGAGATTTTACTGGTGTAAGGAATCAAGCGACGAGATTAGCTCGTCTCCTTATGTATACTAATGACCCGTCTGTTTTCCCCTGCCTCGGCGTGTGTCGCACTACAGGCTGTGTCCTCTCAACAAGGCGTCGCTCACATGATCATGAGCCTCTCTGTCTGCTTACTGCTTAGCGCTCTTAGGAATCTCGGTGATAGTGGCTAGGAGGTACTGTTCAAGCCCCCGAGCCTGGCTTCTGAACACTAGTGTAACGGATGGCGGTAACTCATCTATTGCTTGCCTTGCAGCGTCATGCGTCATGTTTCATCTCGTTAAGCGTAAGATGGCCACCCTTTACTTGAAAATAATTTTTGTCTTAGACATTTTATCCAATATGAAACTCTGATACTTATGGAGTTTACCCTTGAATCGAATTCCAAGCTCGAGAAACCAAAGCTGTAAATATTTTTGCAAAGTCTTGATTTGATGAATTCAGATCCTGGCTCGATTTGGGATTATAGGAGTCACAAACCATTCTTTGCCTGACTGTTCATGAAGCCAGTTGCTCTTGATATTCTGTGTAGTCTTGTTCTTATATCTGAGAAAAGATTTCAAGCAACATCTCGCTAAAGCCATATGAAATTATTACCGTACTGACTAATTTCCCGTCTTTGCTCGAGTAAACATTCTTCTGGCTTTCTTAAATATGTCTTAATTGATTAAAAGTTTACGTTATGATCAAGCCAATGCTCACCACTGGAAGGAAATTATATACTTACATGACGTCAACTATTTCTTTAATCTGGAGTTGGTTTTATATAAAGTTTGTTCGTTTTGACTATTTACCAAAATCCCGGCTGAATCACATGTCATTGCAGTGGTAGTAGAGCAGACATATAAGAGAGGCTCTCAGGTAACTATTAGGGATAGATTCCCTGTGACTCGATATCGGCTCCATTTTTATGGACTGTGATATTCATACGTTGTGTAGGTAGGCCTGTAGCGTGTGAATGAAGAGTGCCTGCACAAACTACCGAAAATTACTAATCACAAAGCTTATTTCTAGGCAATCAACTAGCATCCCTGAACAAGGGTGCGATCAGCGGAGTGGCGTTTGCAGACACGTACGTACTGTAGTGCATCAGCACAGCTCTGGCATCGCGGGGCGTAGCGATCACATAAAATTTCTGGTGTTGAAGCTGTTCTTTGATACGCTTCAATTGCTTATTTTGGCTATTGAAATTCTACTAGCCAGTGAATTACGACGTCTAATTTAATTAATTGCTAAGAGAGTCTTCCTATTTGAATCTTCTGCAACAATTTGCCAGCATCGCCATTCATTCAAACAGAATAGTGGCAATAATTTTTCAAGTTTGGTCCTTGTAATTGCTGAAGTGAAGCAGTAAAGACGAATTTCTGTTGAAGAGTGCTGTGTGCTCGATAAAAAAACACTCCCGTGCTGCCAGAGCTGTTTGGTAAGGTAAAGCAAAGCTGTTGATTAAGCTGACCTCTTCTCTTCCTTCATGCAGATTACACAATCTCTCTTTTATAATCATTATCTTCATTTATCCCTTTCATTTCTCTTTGAAATTCTTTTTCATCAACTCCCCAACCTAAGCCGATCTGAAGTCAAGCAATTTGCTTTATCATCTAGTTATGGCTCAAAAATGTTTCTGTCATTCCCCTCATTTCTCTGCCTTGTTGCAAATCATTCAACACTTTTTTCCTTCTCTTCTCAGCTTTTTAAATTAAGTTTAAAATTTTACTATAGATTGATGGTATAAATGTGCCTTGGTTTTACAGGTGGAAAGACTCCTGAGGTCAATGCCCGCACCTATGCCCAGATCATGCGGGAGCAGATGCTCAAAGGAGAGGAGCACGCTGTGAGTAGAAGGCTCATCCAATATGTGTCAGTTTGGTATATTTTCAGTTCAGCTAGTGTGTGATGATATCTTTGCTCAAATGACCTGAATTCGAAAATGGATTTGTTCAACAATGTCATTTGTTATTGTAACCTCTGAGATAGATGAGGGCTTATCATCATCGTTTTGCATATCTTCACAATTTTGTTATCTTCTCATTTTAAAAAGCCTGATTTTGTTGCCAGCTCCGCAAGACCATCGTGGACCGCGCCAAGGACGGCACGCTCGAGGTATCCGACACCAGCAAGGCTGCGGCAGCGGCTCCTCGTAAGCGTGGTCGTTGGGACCAGACTACTGGTGACACGCCTACGCCAGGCCACCAGGCGGGACCTCCTTCTAAGAAGAAAACGTGGGAAGCTGAGACTCCAAACGTAGCACGCTGGGAAGAGACTCCCGGACGGCAGAAGGGAGGTGAAACTCCCGGTGCAACGCCCAGCCAGAGCACGAGAATGTGGGAGGCCACGCCTGGGCATGCAACTCCAGGACGTGAAACTCCTGGTCACACAACGCCTTCCGCACGCAGGAACCGATGGGATGAAACCCCCAAGACGGATCGTGGTGAGACGCCGGGACACAACAGCGGCTGGGCTGAGACCCCTCGCACTGACCGAGGTGCTGCAGACCTGATACAGGAAACTCCGACTCCCGCTGCTAGCAAACGGCGGTCTAGGTGGGATGAAACCCCTGCAGCGCAGACCCCTGGAGCAACCCCATCAGGCGCAATGACTCCTACCACACCGCACACCCCTAGTATGACGCCGGGGATGATGACACCTGGAGGAACCACGCCTGGAAGTGCAACTCCAGGTGGTATCACACCAGGAGGCACAACCCCCATCGGGCCTAGAGCTATTGGTATGGCTACACCCACTCCGGGTCAGCTCCTGAACATGACACCTGAACAAATCCATGCCTTCAGGTGGGAGCGTGAGATCGATGAACGCAATAGACCAATGACAGACGAAGAGTTGAACTCTCTATTTCCTCCCGGCTACGAGATATTGTCCCCTCCTCAGGGTTATGTGCCCATAAGGACTCCTGCTCGCAAACTAACGGCTACTCCAACACCAATGATTGGCACGCCTCAAGGCTTCTTCATGCAAAAGGAAGGAATGACTCCTAAACATTCGGACGAATCTCAGCCCAAAGGAAATTTGCCACTTCTTAAACCTGAAGATGCTCAGTATTTCGATAAACTCCTTCAAGATGTTGATGAGGATAGCCTTCCTCCTGAAGAGCAGAAAGAGAGACGTATTATGAAGCTGCTTCTTAAAATAAAGAACGGAACTCCTCCCATGCGCAAAGCGGCTCTTCGTCAAATTACCGATAAGGCGCGTGAGTTTGGTGCTGGCCCATTATTCAATCAAATTCTTCCATTGCTCATGTCCCCTACTTTGGAAGATCAGGAGCGGCATTTGCTCGTCAAGGTCATTGATCGTGTTCTCTACAAATTGGATGATCTGGTACGTCCATACGTCCACAAAATTCTTGTTGTTATTGAACCACTTCTAATTGATGAAGACTATTATGCTCGTGTCGAGGGCCGAGAAATCATTAGTAATCTGGCGAAGGCTGCTGGGTTGGCTACTATGATTTCCACCATGAGGCCTGACATCGATAACATAGACGAGTATGTGCGTAACACAACTGCTCGAGCCTTTGCTGTGGTTGCTTCTGCCCTTGGTATCCCATCCTTGCTGCCTTTCCTTAAAGCCGTTTGTAAGAGCAAGAAATCTTGGCAGGCACGTCACACGGGCATAAAAATTGTTCAACAGATTGCTATCTTGATGGGATGTGCTATACTCCCTCACTTGCGTTCTCTTGTCGAGATTATAGAGCACGGACTTGGAGACGAACAGCAGAAGGTGCGAACCATCACTGCTTTGGCTTTAGCTGCTCTTGCTGAAGCTGCCACGCCCTACGGTATCGAGAGCTTTGACTCCGTGCTGAAGCCCTTGTGGCGTGGTATTAGGCAGCATCGAGGTAAAGGCCTTGCTGCTTTCCTCAAAGCTATCGGCTACCTCATCCCTCTCATGGACGGAGAATATGCTGACTACTACACCAGGGAAGTGATGTTGATTCTCATCCGAGAATTCCAGTCGCCTGACGAAGAAATGAAAAAGATTGTACTTAAGGTCGTAAAACAGTGTTGTGCAACCGACGGCGTTGAGTCTGGCTACATCAAGGAAGAAATCCTCCCAAACTTCTTCAAACATTTTTGGAATCATCGCATGGCTCTCGACCGCAGGAATTATCGTCAATTGGTTGATACAACCGTTGAAATTGCCAACAAAGTTGGCGCGTCTGAAATAGTCAACCGAATCGTCGACGATTTAAAAGATGAAAATGAACAGTACAGAAAGATGGTAATGGAAACCATTGAAAAAATTATGGCCAACCTGGGAGCTGCTGATATCGACTCTCGACTTGAGGAACAGCTCATTGATGGCATTTTGTATGCATTCCAGGAGCAGACCACCGAAGACGTAGTTATGCTCAATGGTTTTGGTACGATAGTAAACGCTCTCGGCTCGCGAGTCAAGGTTTACCTTCCTCAGATTTGCGGTACAATCCTCTGGCGTCTGAACAATAAGTCTGCTAAAGTTCGTCAGCAGGCCGCTGATCTTATCTCCCGTATTGCTGTAGTAATGAAAACATGTCAAGAGGAGAAGCTCATGGGACATTTGGGTGTCGTTCTCTACGAGTACCTAGGCGAGGAGTATCCCGAGGTTTTGGGCTCCATTCTTGGAGCTCTCAAGGGCATTGTTAATGTCATAGGTATGCACAAGATGAATCCCCCCATCAAGGATTTGTTGCCACGACTCACCCCAATCCTTAAGAACAGACATGAAAAAGTTCAGGAAAACTGCATTGACCTCGTTGGTCGTATCGCTGACCGTGGTCCTGAGTATGTGGGCCCCAGGGAATGGATGCGCATTTGCTTCGAACTTCTCGAGCTTCTCAAAGCCCACAAGAAGGCAATTCGACGTGCCACTGTCAACACATTTGGTTACATTGCTAAGGCAATTGGTCCTCATGATGTCTTGGCTACTTTACTTAATAACCTCAAGGTCCAGGAGCGCCAAAACCGCGTGTGCACCACCGTGGCCATCGCTATCGTGGCTGAGACGTGCTCACCATTCACTGTTCTTCCCGGACTTATGAATGAGTACCGAGTGCCGGAACTGAACGTCCAGAATGGCGTTCTCAAGTCCCTCTCGTTCCTGTTCGAGTACATAGGTGAGATGGGCAAAGACTACATCTACGCCGTCACTCCCCTGCTGGAAGACGCGCTCATGGATCGCGATTTGATTCACCGACAGACTGCGTGCGCAGCCATCAAGCACATGGCCATCGGAGTGTACGGCTTCGGCTGCGAGGACGCCCTCATCCATCTCCTCAATTACGTCTGGCCCAACATCTTCGAGACATCGCCTCATCTTGTGCAAGCATTTATGGACAGCGTTGAAGGCCTCAGAGTCGCGCTAGGACCCCTCAAAGTGAGTTCACATTCAACAACTGCTATTTGTTTTCTGCCCATTGTTGTATTTTATTTCCTATCTAGAAATTATTTCGTAAGAGTCGTGTAACAAATTTATATTTTTCTCTTCATTGGCCAGTTCCTGTCTTTGGAGCAATCCTATACAGTTCAAATTGTTCCTTCCGGCGAATATTTTAATGTGTTCATTCATAAGAATTTTATAATATTAATAATGCAATCTCAAATTTGTTCTATATTGTAAACCTTATTTAGTGATCTTAACTTATTTTTAATGTACCTATTTTTTAACAAGTTGAAAATTGCCTATTCTGTGTGATGCAATACGATGGTCTTGACCCTTTTGTGGGCAAGATCAGAAGTACTATTCAGAAATTCAAGTTGTTGAAACTAGTACAAAACAAAGTATGAATAAACAATCTCAAGATATATTTACTCGAATGTATTATATTAAATTTGCATATTAAAGCAGTAATTCGCTGTTGAAAAGTCTGTTAAATACGGTCATCACTCATGAACCATTTAATATACCGTACTATTTCAATTTAGTATTCTAATATGAAGAATTACTTTCTTCTAACTTCAATTTAATTCAATATCATTTAGTCAAATCAATTAATTGAAAATATATTGCTACTACCGTCTTTTTTGAACAATGTGGAAAGAACGTCAATTTCATTGTTAAGAGTCAAAACTCTCATTCAAATGCTCGTATTTTAATTATTGGGCATGGTAAGGGATAATTCTATGTACGGAATGACGGTCAGATGATTGGTGAAATTGTCAATGCCATTGTGTGTGATCATTTTATCCTCCGTAACGAAGTTATAGTACTACCGAACTAAACGATCACATAAGGATTTTATAAAGTGGTAGCCACGTATAGACTGCGGCGACGTGTGCGCCACGATACCATGATAGCTGAGCCGCAAGCACAAACCGAGAGCAGTGGTGAGTCTTTTGGGGTACGTAGGCGATATTAAGTGATCATATAAGTTAACTTGCCCGGGAAGGTAAAACATGCAGTTCGTATTTCAAGTTCGATATATTGCTTGTTACTCAGGTCACTCTTGTCTTTCATTAGCATGTCTCTTTATCCCAGATCCTACAGTACGTGCTGCAAGGCCTCTTCCACCCCGCCCGCAAAGTGCGCGACGTCTACTGGAAGATCTACAACAACCTCTACATCGGCTCCCAGGACGCTCTCGTGGCCGGCTACCCGATCATCAACAACATGGGGAACAACGTCTACACCAGAGATGAACTTCATTATCTCATTTAAATTAACACTCGACTTCTGTATGTGATTGTTAGGGACTCCTGTATTTACAATTTATCATTTTTAATCTTGTTGTAAATTTAATGCGGAAATCTTGCGTAAATGTAGAGCGTGAAATCAATGCTTCAGTTTTCAAGATGTGTTTATCGAGGCCTCATAGCTTGAAAGGTAGGCCTTCAACTGAATTCTTCAATCTTCAATTTAAGAAGTATTCCCTTTGTGATTATGTAGAAAAGGTTATTTCCTCATAATTAAGGACGGAATAAACGTCCTGGATGTGAAGCGGCATCAATTCGAGTGTTTTAAGTTGTCCGAGTCTTTAATCTTATCATGCAATTTTTTGGGTTAAATGTAAATAATTTTCATTTTTCTTCAGGATAGCACTGATAGCTTGAACATTGTTCTACTCTGTCCATGTTCCGAAAATATGTTCAACCTCCTTGATGCTGTTTTAGTTAATGGTTTATTAATGTTGAGCTTGCCTTCTTTGTAGCTTGAGAGTAAGTAGTACCTGTACATAATTTGTGCATATTTATGATTTTGTTCACAGATTTGCAACTGGTTCTTTTCTATGCCTGTTCTAATATTTCTAAGAAGATCCTTTCCTAATTGCTCCTTTACCCTTTACCTACTTGTGCGCTGGGAATATTTCGTGAACTCCTCAGTGCTTAAATGTTTCATGAACTGATATCCTTTTGAAGCGTGCTGCTTGTGCGTTCAAGCATTGCGGGGTATAGAAAACGGGGATGAATGACCACATATGTATGATTATAACAATAAATGTGTTGCAATTCTTATATGTGCGCCTTATTGGACAAGTCGCCTCTAATGCTGGGAGCTGACTTTTATTTCTGTTCCTGTCGTAGATCTTCGAACGGCTGGACTTGAAAATCTCAGATAAAGCTTTTTAACCACTGACTGGTTTTGCATGTTTGAGGTTCGTTCTCAAAATTTATTTGCAGTGTTAATTTTAACTATGGAATATTTTTATCTCGAATCGCGAATGGAACCATGAACTAAGATTTCTTGTTCGTACCTAAGCTGCTGGTCATAAACTTGAATTTTCAACTTTTTAAAGGCGCTTAAAACTTGCACGTTCACTGAGAGGCATGCGTGTGCTCCAACGGTTTGTTTATGCGAATTGGAAACGTAAAATTTTTCGCGGTAATCCTGGTTGCTGGTCTTGAAATTTTTTAACCTGCGCTTGACTGAAAAATTATTGAATCTCAATGGCTGTTCACTGGAATCAACACGCCAGAAAGCGACAAAGTGGGCTATTTAGAGCTTAGAATCATGCTCCATCATTTTTTTATTTAACACTTCAATTTTGCGGTGATCTGGCCTTGAGCTTTAGATACGAATAACATGGATAAAGTTCAATTCGTACACGAACTAAGTTTTGCGCTAAGAGGAAGTGTAGACCAGTCAGTGAGTTTTTATTTTCTTTTTGGCATTAAAGAACGTTGGAAATTTTTGACACGATGGGAAAATTAGAAAAATTGTGCATAAGCCAATCTTCAAGAACTTGTGAAATGTGCAAGTGGTTGCAAAATCACCTGCATATTCCTCAGTTAAGGCTGCCGCCAGCTCAACATTTTCCCGTTCAGGTAGCGAGTTTATGTAGTGGATTTAACTTTGAAAAAGAAAATTCATTTCTCCAGTTGAGGATTGAGGCAGACGTGAGTCAACTCAACATCTTCTATTAGAACGAATACAAAATGAGTAGTGACTAGCTATCTTCGATCATCAAAATAGAGTTTTATTATAGCAAAGTTTTTTATGACCGATGCAATTGAAGGGAAGTAAGGCATTTGTCTCCAGTTGAATCGCTTAGACCTCGGAGCAAGCCTGTTCTCTGCAGAAGTTCTCTTGGATTTCGAGTTACAGCGCGTATTGTTCTCTGAGCGCCCCCACCACAAAGCTTGCAGTGTCTGGCTGCCGGTCTCAGTTGTGGAGTTTGGTTATTATGCAGGCAGGATTTCTCTTCTCTATTTCGTGCGGACGGCCGACATCTCGTGCAGGCGACGTATTGTATTGGTGTCTTCGTTCTTATTGCTATTTATCGGTAGCTTCTTATTACTTCATCGCATCGATAACGTTTCTCCGTATCTGCCAGCTTCATCGCAACGGCTTTATTTTATTTTATAAAGTTGCTATAATAGGGACTTTTTTCTTCGTTGGTAGTGTTAATTCCACTTCCCGAGCGAGATACTCAAAAGCTGAAATCATGGCAAATCATGCGGTAATTAAACTGAACACTTTTGCGACGTATTTTCTTGCAAATCTAAAATACTACATTGAGTCCGTACCACATTGCAAAAGTTTATTAATTAAAAATTGACGTACATAATCAACGCGCAGCCTTAAAATAATTAAAAAATTATCAAAATACCGCAGCCTTAAATTAAAGGGGATATATGTGTCCAATTGAGCGTGATGAAGGCTAAATAGGTTTGGAGATTGGATATGGAAGTTACAAACGGCCGTCCTGGAGTGCAAATATGTATTAAGTAGGTTGGAGTAAAGAATATGAAGATTCAATATGTTTATTGATGGATTGAAGAATGATGCCGCCGACCAACGCCTGAGGTGTTGGTGTTCGGTAGAATATAGACACGACATGAACAAAATGGAATAACAACAATATCGAAAGAATATTGGGTATACAAATGATAATTCAGTTATCATGTTGGCAATATCAAATCACAATTATCTGAATCTAATTCTAAAGATTGACTTGGCAGCTTACCCCTGGTGGTTATTTACCCCTTATGTACGGGCCAGAAAAAAATAAGTATAAATTCACCTACAGCGATCGCAGTGATATCATTGGATAGGGCAGAATGTCAGCTTTAAGACGATACTAAATACCATAAAAGCCAAATCCGAAAATTTTAGGGTATACCTCCCCCTTAAGTATAACTGGCTAATGTTGCCCGCTGGCGCAGTCTAAAAAGAATTCATAATTTTGAATGACCCTATTGTGAACGTAAAATTATTTTGTCGTTAACTGAATTTTAGTATTCTGAAATTAGATGAATATTGTTCATGCTTTAAATGGAAATATTTTTTATTTTACAATGGAATAATAATGAAGATTGAAGTAAATAGTTGAATTTTAGCTAACACGTTTACATGAAGCTACAAAAATGGTGTTCAACGAGCTTGGGGATTTGATAAAATAATTATGACGTTCCCAAGAAATGATAGTGCGAGTTATTAATTCGAGTCACAACAAACGAATGAGCTTCATACATGAACAAAAAAAGGAGCACATTTATGGACAGATGGACACCGATTCGACACTTCAGCGAACTCGCCTGCGAACTCGAATGCAAAACCTAACTTGTCGAATCGGTTGGAAGTGTCGAATCGGTCAGATGGACGCTAAAGGGTTAAGCTCTGGCAGACAACTGCGCGGTTCTATAATCCGGAAATAACTTTTTTATATTCCTTATGATTGAACCATCATTTTTCCTCCTATTATGCGTTTGAGCTAGATTTCTACATGCATTGAGGGGTCAACTGTTCTAAATTGTACCACATGACACTTGATATTATAATCCAAAAAGTTGAGTCTCCGCTAAACGTGCCATGTTTCCCAGTGATCATCGAAATGATTCCAGATATCTTTGACAATCTGACTCCTTTGTGTCGGAGTTGTACTGTATGCAGGGACCCCAAAATATATTTTTAGCTGTTATGAAAATCAAACGTGTTTTCGTTAATCATTTGGATTTGTCGGTCAATATTGACATTGTATTCACAAAGAAATTTACGTCACGTGAACTTATATCAAAATATAAAGGAAAATTGTTTAGAATTTTGCAAGCCTTTGCAAATAAGAATTCATAAAAACCTTCCATTTGATTACTAAACCTATTGAGATTTAAAGGCTGCAAAATCTCACTCCAATATCCTGGCAAATAATCGTTCAAATGAAGCGATCGATCATTAGACGTTCTCAATGCAAGAGGCAAGGGAGATGTCGAAAAAAATGAATTATTGACCTCATTAACTCAGCTCTGTTAGAAAGAAGAAATTTAGAGCTCTTTAGAAATAGAATTAGAGAAGGAATTAGATTAAAATTAGAAGGAATTTGTAGAGCTTTTTTGAATGTTCATTGTTTATACTAATGGTCTTCTAAGCAAAACCAGCCTCTTATTTTGCAGTGCATGCCACAGAGATGTACGAAATTTTTCTGCCGCTCAAGTTCGAAAATTTTTCTTTTTGTTACTGGATGATTTTTTTGGAACAAAAATTCTTTTTATTTTCTCCTTAACTTACATATTCAAATTCATCAATCGATCAATTCGTAATTCGAATTTTTTGAAAATTTCTGATACCTGAACAGGTAGGAGCCTCAGTTTTCTTTATTTATGGTCCTATTTGTATATGTACGAATAGAGGGTCCTTAATAATAATGGTTATGTAAGTGGTTGAAATGAAATTTTCAAGCCACTGCCAGAAAATTATAAACACATCACGCACGTTGGAAAACGCACATTCTGAGCTCCAACCATAACTTTTATCAAAAAAATATATCTAGCTTGCAGATATGAAATAACCATTTTTTTACAAAATGACCTTTCATAAAGCGTTTGTACAGAAAGTATTAGGCTTGTGCCTAACAATTTACACAGCCGAATTCACGATGAAAAACTTTTCACATCTTTTGTCATTAAACTGAAGTGTGCCTGTACAGAATTTGGTCACCATTTGAAGAAGGATCTGTAAACCTGCAAAAAACAAAAAACATTGCGTTAAAATTCGTTATAATATTAAAATTACCAAAATCTGTTTTTATTATAAAAATGTCGGGAATATTTAACAGAACCAGTAGCAAACAATTATGCTATTCATTTATAATGTCAAATGAAAGAATAATTTTTTCTCAAAACATCGGGCAAGTTGCCCTTAACAATATTTTCAACAACCAAATTACCTCTGTTGCTGGCGTATACAATGAGGATTGCATGCAAATATTTAACCATTTTATTTGTTGAAGTTTAAGGTAAAAAGACACTCGTCCTTCCACTTTTTCGATTAATTTTCTGTTTCAGAGTTCTGATTGTCAAAAAATTATACTTCAGATATTTTTTTTATTTGTACTACGATATAATCGATATAATAGGGTACAGAAAACAAACATTTTTTGATTTTGCGACACATCCTCAAAAAAAAAAGTACTACCAACCATTACCACCATAAATGTTCGCAATTTAGTTCAAAGCCCATCGTCGATCGAACATTGCAATGCACAAAAAAAAATTCCATTTCCAAAGGCATTCAGTTTCTGAAATCGTATCGCTGGTATTTTAAACTCACTCTCTGTCGGATCTATATAATTTCTATCAAATGTACATTTGCTATATTTAGAATCAACCTAAGATCTTACTATTGTAATAAAAGATTGTGGCCCCAATACTTAATGTAGAGAAATTTAAGATTCAATGCAACAGAGAAATTTAGAATCAAAATCTTCGAGACCTAAAAAAACAAGATAATTTTCAGAACAATTTTAATCCCTAAAAATTCGGCCCGTCTGTGGTATATAGAAGGAGCGTGCTGGCTGTTTATACTAGCACTGACCCTGAGCTTCCATGCAGATACCTTGATATTTATACGAATTTTACTAATGATGGACTCGTGAGTCATGACTAGCTCCTGAATTTCAGACCAGTTAAAAATCTACTCATTACGCTGAAAAAATATTAAAAGCCTTAGAGAACACAACCTGGGATAAAGTGCACAGTCTACCTTAATTAAGATAAATAAGGAATGTACCATAATAAGTGAAAGGAATGCTCCATAATAAATGAAAGAGAAGTACTGGACTCACCCGTCTATTGTTCAGGGGCTGTGGATTTCTAAAATTGTCTTCGATGGGTTCATCGTGCAGATCCAAAAGCGTTCTCATTAGTTCCAGCTGAAATGTTAATAAGTCCTGTTATCAAATAAACTCATTGTATCTTTACTTGCGTGCGTATGGTTTCATTAGAGACTAAATCATGCTTCGAGCCAAGCTCTTCTTGATGAAATACTCATTCTTATTAGTTGAATCAAAGTTCAAGGTTTTGGTTGTCATTAGGCACATTCAACTACACAGGTTGAAAACATCATAGCAAGTTGAAATTTGGCAACCTAAGGTGTTTCTCACATTGAAGCTAAAAATGCAGTTAGATTTCTGGACCTAATTACCCAATAATGGATCAGCACATGCAATTCAAGGGTCTATATGGTCTGTATACATTTAACATCGCCAATGCTGCCAAACAGAGGTTTGAACGGCAAGGAAAGTAAGAAAGCTTTAATTGATTTATCCTGCACAATTAAGTCTTTGCAACGAAGTCGCAATCGCTTGCGGCACATAGCGTCAAACTGGACCCCAAATAATAGTGAAAGCCTGAGCAGAGAAAGCATAATCATTTCTATGCATGAACTGCAGTCCTATTGATGACCGACTGTCATCTAATGGTCATTCTCCGATGAACAGTTCTAGGTTCTAATTATTAGAGCTATAACAAAGTTGGTAAGGCATGCAAACATTTTAGCGACGTCCACGCGAAACGTATTTAAAACTTTCAGCGTTACCTAGCAAACTTTAAAAATAAAAACTAAAAAACGAAAATGAGCTACGATGAAACCTGCAGATTTTACTTTCTTTAACATGTAGTTTAGGAACCAATAATTTTGCCTAACATTGTAGAAAAATATAAAAATTTATAATATTCAAAAAATGCAATCCAGAATTCGTAACTTTGCAGATGAAACGTTTGTGTACATTGCTTCTGCCTGCATAAATAGAAACATAGAAACAGACGCTTCCAAAATGTATCTAAGTAACATTATTTCTCCCAAACCTTCACAGAAGTGCTACATATTTTCAAAAAGAATTAAAATAAAAGTTTATTTTGCGTGAAGTGTACCCAAAGCTTTAAATTAACATGGAAATGAATTGAAACTGAGGATCGAATTCAAATTTTCAACGGACTTGAGCCTAACTATCAGCTTATTGAAAATAATCCAGATATAGGAAAAACTTTTCCTAACTGATTATCCTCGTTTCTTGAAGTGATCCTCGTTACTAAACAATTTTCGGTAGTTAAATTCAGAATAGTTATTTTTCGGGTCAAAATCATTAAAAAAGCAACAGTACTGGCTCAGATACCTGATTTTGTGATACGTGCACAGGCTCCTTGAAGACCGTCCAAATGACGACCTCGTTACAGGGGGGTGAGGTGAGGCTGCCTTCGTACCTGTAGAAGCTCTTCGTGTCGTCAGGCAAGAGAGACGCTACCGCGTAGGGCGCGTTAACGGGCGTCATTGGAGTCCCTCCTGCAGATGTAATAAGATTTGAAAGGTATTTATTCCATATAATTCCAAATTTTCATATAATTAATAGAAATTATCGAGCAAGATATCACGATGGAATGTTTGCGTTTACTGTCCATCAGGTTAACTAAAAATTTAGTTCTTAGGGAATGGGAAGTGACTCTAACTTGGCTAAATTTCTATAAGTGAGGAGTGAATTATCCGGATCCAATGGCGTGGTATCAAGAAATTAGGCCAATATAACTAAGAAGTTTTTCACTCTTCTAAAAATGTTAAAGACTCACTGCCACGTCTGATGTTCTGGACCTGTTGCAAGACGGGTGCGAGGGCCGGGTTGTCGCGCGAGGACACCTCGAACAGCACCGCCAGCACCGCGACGCCGTCAGCGTAGCGCAGGGCGTTCATCATGTCTCCGTACTGGGCTTTGTAGTGCACCAGGTGCAGCTCCATCGGGTACCTGGTGTGAGATGGCAAGCATTACCCAAGTAATTACATGCATCTCCTGTGGGTACCTGGTGTGAGATGGCAAGCTTTCCTCACGTAATTACATGCATCTCCATCGGGTACCTGCATGGTGTGAGATGGCAAGCGTTCCCTACGTAATTACATGGATATCCTGTGGGTACCTGATGTGAGATGGCAAGCTTTCCTCACATAATTACATGGATCTCCAACAGGGTATCTTATGTGAGATGGCAAGCACTCGTCACGTAATTACATGGATCTCCTGCGGGTACCTGATGTGAGATGGCAAGCATTATCTACGTAATTACATGCATCTCCTGTGGGTATCTGATGTGAGACGGCAAGCATTCCCCACGTAATTACATGCATCTCCTGTGGGTACCTGCTGTGAGATGGCAAGCATTCCCTACGTAATTACATGCATCTCCCGTGGGTATCTTATGTGAGATGGCAAGCATTACCCGCGTAATTACATGGATCTCCTGTGGGTACCTGATGTGAGATGGCAAGCTTTCCTCACATAATTACATGCATCTCCAACTGGTATCTAATGTGAGATGGCACTGTGGGTATCTTATGTGAGATGGCAAGCATTCCCACGTAATTACATGCATCTCCAACAGGGTACCTGATGTGAGATGGCAAGCATTATCTACGTAATTACATGCATCTCCTGTGGGTATCTGATTCCAGCACCGCGACGCCGTCAGCGTATCGCAGGGCGTTCATCATGTCTCCGTACTGGGCTTTGTAGTGCACCAGGTGCAGCTCCATCGGGTACCTGATGTGAGATGGCAAGCATTCCCCACGTAATTACATGGATCTCCTGTGGGTATCTGCTGAGAAATAGCAAGCATTCCCTACGTAATTACATGCATCTCCATCGAGTACCTGTATATTAATCAATATTCAGAACCGCAAAGGTCCGCCATGACAGATTAAGTGCAAACAAATAAATTTAGATTGTTGCAGACTTGGACTAAACTTCAGAAAACGTATATGACAATTTGTTTTATTCATAGGTTTGAATTTCTACGTGGCTATTAATATTTCCATCCTGGAGCTGATGATACAGCTACATGTAAGTTAAAATTGAGCAATGTTTTTTTGTAAATACTAATATATTTTAGTCTACCTAATATACCTAATTGATGCTACAAACAATCATTAATGCATATATTTTTTAGATGGACCCGTGAGATTGCACGCACCTGACAGTGTTGATGGTGTGCTCGGAGCCCTTGGAGGAGTCGGAGCCCCAATGGAAGTGATACTGCGACAGTAAGTAGGTACCGTGCAGACCGCCTCCTTTGATACTGGGCGGCACCTTACTGTTGTGCATCACCTGCACTGTCACAGGTTAAATTATCAATTAGCAAACGTTTTACAATACATTCACTGATGTATTTCCTGATTTTTCTGCAAAATTATTCTGTGACAGTACCGTGCAGACCACCTACTTTGATACTGGGCGGCACCATACTGTTGTGTATCACCTGCACTGTCACAAGTTAAATTATCAATTAGCAAACGTTTTTCAATACAGACCCTGGAATATGTATTCCCTGAATCTTCTGTAAAATGATCGTTCTGCGACAGTTTGTAGGTACCGTGCAGACCAGCTCTTTCGATACTGGGAATCACAATACTATTGTGTATCACCTTCAGTGACGCAAGTTTACTTCTCAGATAGAAAACATGTTTCAAGTCATATTCTGAAATATGTTCTCATTCTTGGGTACAGTAATAGTACGTGACCTTTATTATTAGAAGATTAGAAGTTATTTTTCGATTCAAAAACTCGAAAAGGAAATAGTAAAAGGAAAATGTCCTCAAACGTTGATGTGAAACAATGAATAGCCTTGCGACGCCGAAAAATCGGCTTCATCATTAGATATAATAAATTAAAATAGACCTAAAAATAAAAACCAATGGCTCCTCTGCGGTCATACAATGCAAGCATACAAACTATCAACTTCATGCTCTTTGAACCAAAAATTGAAAAATAAATTGACACGCTCCATTAAAATAATTTGTGCTTGAAGCGAATGCAGTTTCATTTAGTTACCTTATCTCGACGACAGAACTGACTTTATTAACTTACAATAAAAAGGTTTTTATCAACAGTCTGTTAAACTGTGATTTAAGGTATGATAAGTTATAAGCTGTTCCATGAACAGGAAAATGGGCAGCACTGACATATATTGCTAATAATTGAAAACCAAATATATCTCTTAAGAAATTGCATTTTGCTGAGAAAATTCGGAGGCCACTGAAGTAATTATAAAAACTGTGATCAACACGCATAAGGAATAGTGAGCATTAATGAAACGGAATATTTTTTAATAACCTGTTGCAATGAACTTTAGTGTATTTTTTTCAACAAAAATATCTAATTTTAACGTGTAAGATATAAAGTTGATATATCTTAGAATAGAATAGAAGTGTCGGCACTGAAGAAATAGGCCCATATATTTCACATATTTAAGATCAGCCTCATACCTCATATTAGTCGCGTTATTTTTTTAATCGAACCAAACAACGCCTTGTACAAGCAGTTTAACATTTTATATGATTGTGAGCTTCAACATTGAAGGTCAGGCCCGTTTCTCACTTGAGACTTCGTAATTGTTGTTTCGTCTGTCATTTTTTTCGCAATTGTTGATCCCGTCTGCATTTGATTTTTGTTAAAAAAAATTTGTTCACAGTTGGCGTACGCAAGAACAATCGTTCGCAGGTGACCTGTTGCAGTCAAAGCCGGCCTAAGAAATCTCTGGACTGCAAATGGGAACAAGCAAGCGGCACAGTCTGGGAATTCAAGATCTAAAGAAAGCATTCACTCTGAACTGGAAACTCTGCATTGTAGTCTCTACTCCCTACTATTCCAGTCAATTTATTTTGCGAGACTCACAATGTAAAATATTTAGCTTGCTGCGTGGCGAAATATTTTCACCTGTGAATCGATTTGATCGACGGGAATACAAGAGTACGATTTAAAAATTTTTGAACCTCGCATTTATCGGCAAATCACTTACGTTTCCAGGATGAATTCGTGAGCAAGACTTCATAAATTCGGATGGTCTCCATTTCAAATTTTCAAGGGATTGTGTCAAACTATATTTTGCTGATAGGACTTTTTCGCTGTCAGGCTCGTCTCAGCGCAACTCGAAACATTTCATTGTTATAGTATTTTATTAAGGATTACCATAATGCTTCGTCAATTTCAACATGGCTACGCGTATCAATTAAACCCCCCATAAAGTCACAATACATTTCATTAAAGTCAAAATAAATTTAAAAATAAAAACAATATATACACTATAGATGACAGAAAGTTCAGCATTTCAATTAATTTCAAATTCAGGCGGTTTTTGGATGTCAAAAAAATTTAACTGGTCAAACGAACAGGATTGGAAACCGGAATACGGTACGTTTGTTTATATATGCATCTAAAACGTTCACGTTCGTTGAAACTACGAATAGTGAAATGCATAAAGAAATCGCCTCTTCAAGGTTTACTGAGCACTCTTTGCTGCATCGAAAGTCGTTGTATCCTGACAGCAGTCGCTTAAATATCTTGTTAATTTGACCTATGCTAAGGACCGACGACTGTAGAGATACACTCTCGATCACACTGATTATTGGTACATTAAAATAACAACGGCCTCTGAAACAGACGGCTTGACTGTGTTCCCTACGATTACTAAAGATAAGCGCTCATGATCTCGACAAGACGCAGACAGATAATTTATGGAGCACACTTTCGTCCTTTCCGCACGCGATGGTCACGGTTTCGGGTGCATCAGATAATTTATTATTGTCGATCTGGAAATTGACGTGGAACGTGTGATCAAGGTTTTTCTTTTAAATTACGAAGATTCCATCCAAAATTGTACGCTTGGGGATTAATTGGCAGTAAAATGTATGAAACTTTTTTCAGACCTTCTTTGAATTCACAGAGACTGCATAATAATTTTTTTTTACATTTCTTGCTTAATATTACCCATGAAAGGGTGGAATGTCACGGCACATCAAAACTTTCTCAATTTGTTTCTGCCGCGCGTATTACATCGCATTTCGTTGAGGGTTGATACAATGACCCGTAGTTTTTATAAGATATTATCCGCAATTTGCTAGGCTATTCATTGTAATGCTATATACTTACATCATGGACTATCTTGCCAATCTCCTGCAGCGCGTAGTAAGTTATGGCTTCTGTAGTATTATTGATCCCGATTAAGAGTGAGAATCAAGATATTGCACTCGTATTTCAATAGCTTCTGTAGTATAATAGAGAACTCGATTCGCAGGTCATAGTGAGAATCAAGATATTGCACTCATGTTTCAAGGACGAAAGAAAATTATTGGAAGGCCTTAAAATAGAATTTCTCCTTCCGCAAACCTAGGCCATCAAAAATTTACGTTTGGACCAAATTTTAATCATCGTGGGAACTGATTGTAATTAATTTTTGTACTGTTATTCAAGTATTTATATAAATTTATTATAAGAAGAATTTTGCATTCATTAACTAATGATATGAATATACAATTCAAGTATGAATATATTATTAAGCCCTACCCGATAAACGCACAAAAATCCGCTCAGGCAGGATTTTTTGGAATAAATTATCGAAGAATGGAGACTTGAATATAATATCCTATATCAACCGCCGTAGTAGCGAAAGGATTTTTGCCTGGACAAGTCGGCAATTATAGTGATGTTTCATCAATGGTGTTTTTGATGAGCATCATGTTTCGTTATCATCTTCCGTAATGAAACATCAAGTTTTATCATTAACTTCAGTAATGAGCATCATGTTTCATCATCATCTTCAATGATGAGCATCATGTTTACTTCTACCACAAAATTTACTTCCGAAGTATAGAATGATGGCGCCAGCTAACGCTCTTTCACACTATAAAATAGATGGTTCGTATTGTCCAAATACCAACTCACTATACATTAAGAGCAAAGAGCGGCCGTAGCACAGATACGCTCTCTTACGGATCAGGATGACTCAGTGAAAGGCAAAAGGTGCATCGCCATTTATACATTAACATTTAATTTCTCTCAGTGTTCATAACACTCTCATGTAAGTAGCCGCTACAGTCAATTACTTAATTAAGACCAAGTTTGTCGCTGCAGAAGGGTGCATCAGTGCTACGACCGCACTCTGCTCCTGCAGTGGCAAAAAGTGTATCAAAGTGTACCATTATTTGGTCTATTTGCCCCATTATTTTTTCTGCGCGTGGATACTATCGCAATTAACGTTGGCATTTCACTATACGCCGAGCGATCGATCACAAGCCCTCCTCACGTCGTAACGCTCGAGCTTGAATGAAAAAAATTTGGCCGAAATGTATGGGCAGGAAACGCTGCAGGGATCACAGCTCCTCGCTGTAGACTAAAGGCCAGTTTGCAAAAACTGACAACGGAGAAGGAAAGGCAAGTTTTGAGCCATTTGCCTGGCACAATTAGCTGTAAAATTAATAATTCTGTTCTTAGATGGTTGAGTCAGTAAATCATTCAATCAAGCAATGAAGAAAATTTCTCCTGTACGATTTTTAGTACGATGTGTACTAAAGCTCACAAGATGCACAACGCAAACACATGTGTTAACAGTTCTATACTTCAAAATCGTACAGCAAGCTGCGAGATTTTTCTTCTGACTTCTCACAGCTTGTAGTCCGATTTTGAAGTATAGAACAGCTAACACAATAGTTTGCGTTTTGCATGTTGTGAGCTTTAGTGGAATTCATCATCTGCATCGACGAGTTATTCATCTAAAATTAAACTCAATGAAACTCAAGCGCACTTAAAAATTGAGTATTTTACATCGACACTTTTTTTAAACATCACATTGTCATTAGTAGGGTCTTCGCTTTGCTCCATGTTTAATTCTCATTTTATTCCTGACCTGCTCTAAGTATTAAAAAAACGTGATTATAATATCAGGTCAAACTAACTAAATTAATATTTAAACTAACTATTTAAAAGCCTGCACAAACAGTCGTTTTGAGAGGCGTGTAACATGAACCGAACAGAAGGGGCTAGACGGGCGATAAAAACAGCAGACCGCTACGAGACGCGACCTATAGTGTCTCTTTGTATGGACTAATCTCGAGGCCATAGCAGCGGCAAATGTCACATCTAATAAATAATGATTTGTTGACTCGTTGTTGCGACTGATATTTACATCGCAAGAAGAAGAAGAAATAAATGTCGAAGACTCTTCGATTCCGGGTCTGCATGAAAGCCAGACAATTTCCGATAAGAAACAAGTTAAAACGTGATAAGTAAACATGAATTTATATTGCACTTTTTGCAGTTAAAATTTCAAAAACGCAAA